TTAAAATAGAGAACAGTTCTCTATTTTGTCCAAATACAGGTCCAAATAGAGAACTGTTTTCTGAAATAGAGCACAGGTGGTCACGCTGTATGTGAATAAAGTAGCCGTAGTAGCCGGCGGGGCAGAAATTATTATAAACTAATAGATTAATAAATTATTTAAATGTTGATAATTTAATAAAACTGTATTATTAGTTTTAAAAAAAAGTATTGCTTATTGTTTAGTAAACAATATAAGTGTAAATGTTATTTGCACTTCAAGTCGTGCCAAACCTTCAGGTATTTCTCGTGAATCCATTGATTACGACTATCGGCGCAATCGATACTCTCGTCAAACACTCTATTCATTGAGTTTTCGATCAAAAACACTTCGAAAGTATTTCGATCCAAATATTTCATATTCTTTGTAAATATTATATCAGTCGCGCATCCGATCGACTCAAACGCCCGGCTATTAAAAGAATCCGTTGTTTGAGACGCAAAATAAATTTGCAAACTTTGATCAGTGGTGTTGTGGCCGACAGTGAAGGCGTGTTCGGACACCCGTTCTATTGGACTAAAAAATTGTAAGTATTTCAAAGCCGGCAAATCGGTGAACGCGTTCGCAGATATTGATCGTAAAGGATTTTCGCTAAAAATGACATTTTTCAATTTCTTTAAACCCGATAAACTCAACGATGGCAGCGATTGTACGTCCGTTTTGTACAGCTGTAAGAATTCTAACGCTTTCAACGTAGAGATAGCGCCGAATAAGTCGGATGTGTTTGTGACCGACTCAGAGACCGGACACCCAAACAAACTGAGTGTAGTTAGCGTTGCGGCCGTTCCGTCAAACGCCGCGACGTTTACGCGTTTCAATTGATTCTCATTGAGGTTTATATAAGTGAATTGAATGCCAGCGAATGCATTGGTCGGCAGTTCCTCTATACGTGTGTTATATAAGTTTAAATATCTAAATGGTTTCCTATCGGCCGGTAGTCTACGGCTCAGGTCAGTGAATACGGCCCTTATGTCAAAGATGTCGATATCATTACATGTAATGTCGCAATACGTTTGGTCACGACCGTATGAACATGGTGATTTAATAGGCACATCATAGGGACACTGGCCAACCACGTTGCTAATTAACCAAATTAACGCCAATAGAAATGCTATAGAAATAATGTTAATTAATAATTTTTAAAATATTGTTTAAAAAAATATTTTAAATATTTATACTTTTATAATTCATTGCTAATAAATGTAATATCATATAATTATTTCAATTTATACAATTTGTAATTTTAAAAGTTCTGAATAACTTCTGCTATATTTATACTTAATCCAGATTTTCATATTTGTTATATTCCTGAAATTATTGCACAATGGATTAGTACTATAAATACATCAAATGTTTTTTTCAAGTAATTTAATCATATCATATCAGATAATAACTATTTGTAATTAAGCAATATTTCTTAGAATGCTATGTATGTTACATATAGTGCAAAAATAAAAAAATACATATTTCGAAAATAAGCTGTAATATACGAAAATATCACGTTGTTTATTACCAAAATTAACGCTAATAGAAATGCTGTGAAATAATGATAATCAACGATTTTAAAAAATATCTTTTACATTAATAAGAAATATTTATAAAGCTTTACTTATATAAGACATTATTAACCAATATATTAATATTAATTAATTATTTATATTTTATTATATTATTTGTAATCTTTAAAATTGTGAATAACATTTGCAAAGCAGATGCGCTATATTTATACTTCTACTACTATTCTTAAATGTATTTCACCATGATTAGTTGATTGGTGATGAATCAATCCATTCTAAGTAAACAGTTTATCGTGATTACATTTAAGTAATGTATAATTTTTTACTAATTATTTTATTTATTATACCAAACATTGCCTAATTCTTATTCTATCAAGGTGCACTTTATTTTTATATCAATTACTGTAAAAATGTTGTACCTTTCTACTAATAATGGTGTGTAACATACAGTGCATTGAATAAGATATTATGATGCACTGTATGTTATCATACAATTATTATTATCATACAATTATTTTTATCATACAACTTTATTATCATTCAATTATTAGATAACAATTATTATTAGTGCAAAATGTTTAATTAATGTTATAATTTTGAATTATTATGACAAAACTATGTTTTTTGTTTTGCAAACGTTATACGAAACTGCACTTATTTGCACTTCAAGTCGCGCCAAACTTTAGGGTATTTCTCTTGAATCCATTGATTACGACTATCGGCGCAATCGATGCTCTCATCAAACACTGTATTCATTGGGTTTTGACTCAAAAACACATTAAATTCATTGGAATCCAAATATTTCATTGAATTATTTCCCAACCTTATAGTAGTCGCGCATCCGATCGACTCAAACGCCCGGCTGTCGAACGGATCCTTGAGTTGAGACTCAAAATTAATTTCCAAACTCTGTTCAGTGCTGTTGTGGCCGACAGTGAAGGCGTGTTCGGACACCCGTTCTATAGAACTCAAGTCGTAAAATCGTAATAATTTCAAAGCCGGCAAATCGTTGAACGCGTTGGAAAATATTGACCGAAAATATTGACCTTAAAGGATTTGCAACAAGCTGGACAGCTTGCAATTTTCTTAAACCCGATAAACACAATGATGGCAGCGATTGTACGTTTGTATTCTTCAGATACAGGTATTCCAACCCTTTTAAAGTGTCGATAGCGCCGAATAAGTCGGAGTCGTTTGTGACCGACTCAGACACTAGAGAATTGAGAATATAAACCTCAGTCAGTGTTGCGGCCGTTCCGTCAAACGCGGCGACGTTTATGCGTTTCAATTGATTCGCATAATTGGTGTAAATGATGTTGAATTGAATGCCAGCGAACGCATTGGCCGGCAATTCCTCTATTGCAGTGTTATATAAATACATATATCTAAATGATTTCCTATCGGCCGGTAGCCTACGGCTCAGGTCTGTGAATACGGCCTTAATGTCAAAGTTATCGCTACCTTCGCAGCCAATGTCGCAATATGTTGGTCCACCACGGTATCTACATGGTGATTTAATAGGCACATCAGTGGGACATTGGCCAACCACGTTGCTAATCAAAGCATATAACGCCAATAGAAATGCTAGGAAATAATGACTATTAATAATTTTTAGATATTGTTTCAATTAGCTATAAATAATTTCATCTATACTTATATAACGCATTCTTAACCAATTTATAAATACTATATAATTATAACAATTTTATGTTGTTATACAAGTTGTAATCTTAAGTGTTATACCTTTTGTATAACAAATGCTGCTTTATTTATACCTAATACAGCTAGTAATTATTTAGACCATTTCTATTAGAAACTCGTGAATGTAATAAACATTGTTATGAAACTGTAAATATTTAAACAACATTTATTTATTAAGCACAATTTAACACAAAATTTGTTGTTTTGTAATATTCTTGTTGTTATTACTCAATAGATTAGTACAGCGTTATTACGGAATTTAATTATATATTATTTATTATATATCTTATCTTGTGTTTTAGAATAGTTATATGTAAGTATTGATGTAAGCAAGATTATTAGAATATTACCGTTTAGGTTTATTACAAAATTAGTTCTCAATGTTAAAGATTTAACTCCCAGAAGTCAGTATACTGTATGTAGTGAAAGTATTGGTTTTATATTTGTTATATTAAATACATGTATGTACATTAAGTTATATCATTTTATCACATTTTAAGTGTAGTTTTTAATGCATAATTTCCTTTATCTACTAAATGTTTTTAAAAATATATTTCTTATATTAAAGTATTTTTTGTTTTTTAAATAAATTATATGTGTTCAAACAACATTTAATTTTCTTTAAAAGCCAAATAATTTAAAAGCAATAAATTTAAGCATATAGGAATATAAACTGTATTTCGGTGTGATTTATTTATTTGTTATATCTAATAAATTATTTAATTAAATTAAAATAATTTGAACATGAGCATATAATTACAACCAGCCTTATAAAATAATTACAATATTTAATTTTATTAATTGTATTATTAATAATTTAATTCATTTAAAGTTAATCATAAGAATAAAAGCAATATCGAGACCTAACAAGCGTTCATTGAACGCCACATTTTTAAATATTAAAAAACCGTGAGTTCGGGTTTTGATGTCATATGTGATTAAAGTAATGGTTGGTTGTGGGCAGTAATATTATTTATTTATTAATTAATCATTTGTTTACATTTTGACAAATTATCTAAATTGTATTTTACTAATAATAATTGTTTGGTATAGAAATATGTAAATTTTATTTGCAATTCAAATCTTCCCACACGTTAGGGTATTTCTCTTGAATCCATTGATTACGACTATCGGCGCAATCGATACTCTCGTCAAACACTTTATTCATAGGGTTTTGACTCAAAAACACTTCAAAAGCATTTTTATCCAAATATTTCATTGAATTTTTCCCCAAATATATAGCGGTCGCGCATCCGATCGACTCAAACGCCCGGCTATTAAACGGATCATTTAGTTGAGACTCAAAAACAATTTCCAACCTCTGGTCAGTTGTGTTGTGGCCGACAGTGAAGGCGTGTTCGGACACCCGTTCTATTGGACTCGAGGCGTAAAAAAATAATGATTTCAAAGCCGGCAAATCAGTGAACGCATTGCTAGATATGACCCAAAGTGGGTTCGCTCTAAAATCGATTCGCTCTAATTGTCTCAAACCCGATAAACTCAATGATGGCAGCGATTGTACGTTCGTATTGTAGAGACCAAAGTGTTGTAACCCCTTTAGCGTAGAAATGGCGCCGAATAAGTCCGAGTTGTTTGTGACCGACTCAGACACCGGAGAGTAGGTAATCAAAAGTTGAGTTACTGTTGCGATCGTTCCGTCAAACGCCGCGACGTTTATGCGTTTCAAATGAATGGCATTATTGATGTAAATTCGGGTGAATTGAATGCCAGCGAATGCATTGGCCGGCAGTTCCTCTATAGCCGTGTTTTCTAAATGCATTTCTATAAATGGTTTCCTATCGGCCGGTAGTCTACGGCTCAGGTCTGTGAATACTGCCTTAATGTCAAAATCATCGCTACCTTCGCAGCCAATGTCGCAATATGTTGGTCCACCACGGTATCTACATGGTGATTGAATGGGCACATCAGTGGGACATTGGCCAACCACGTTGCTAATTAACGAGACTAACGCCAATAGGAATGCTGTAATAACAATAATAAATTAATTGTTAAATATTGTTTACATAAATTGTTTGTATGTAAAAAAATCTATACTTTTATAATGCATTATTAATTAAATATTCACAAATATTTTATAATTATTTTCGTGTTATTTATTAATTAAACTCTTAATTATAAAAGTTTTGAATAACTTCTGTATAGCAAATGCTGCTATATTTATACTTACATACAACTTGTATACAACTTGTATATACTAACCCACATATACTGATTTGTAATATCTCTGATGTTGGTACACGATGGATTAGTAATACATCTAAGATATTTCCAAGTACGTTAATTTTATATTATCATATCTTTTACAATTGTTGTACTTAAATATTAATGTAATTGATAAGTCTTAGACCGCATAAAGTTTTGATTTAGAAATAATTTTCAAATTAATTTTTTAATTTTAGTTAACATTTTAGGCAACAGAAATCAAGTTTTTAATATTGTAATTGTTTCGTGAAAAACACGATCACTAAATTCTTAACGTTTAGGTTTATAGCAAACACTGTTTCAAATGTTTGTTGTTAGTTGTTTGTAGTCAAACATTTTTATGATTAATCTATTCAATAAAAGTGTCATGGTACTAATGTAAAAATGTTGTACTCATAATTATGGTGTGTAACATCCAGTGCATTGAGAGTGTGCAATTCAGTACAATGTATTGCATTATATGTTGCAATCTATGGCAGTCGACTTACACATCCAATGCACTGGATGTTACAGATCGTTATTATTTGATTGTTTGCGATCAATATTTTGTCAAATGTTAAGTTCTTAGTAAATAATAGTGTCATATAAAAGTGGCAAGCAACTTATAAAAGTGAGTTTCATTTCAAGACATAATCTAATGTACATTCACTACACATATTTTAATTATTAATATTTACAAAGACATTGTGAATAATACAAGTTTTTGAGTACATCTAAATAGACCCCGGGGCAATTTTTTGGCCCCGGCCCCGGGGCCATTATATTTGGCCCCAGGGCCA